TAGTTATTTTGGACTTCCAGAAGGCATTTGATTGCGTCTCGCAGCATAAGCTTTTGTTAAAATTAAAACCCATATTACAAAATAACTCACTTCTCTCATGGATAGTCTAGGAGTCAATGCGTATCAGTTGGCGGCTCGTGTTCACGCCCGACACCCGTGCAATCAGGCATTCCCCAAGGGTCGGTTCTCGGGCCACTATTCTTTTTAGTTTATATAAATGATATCGTAAACGATATACCTGTCAAAATCAAACTGTTCGCGGATGATTCCATCCTTTATCAGGAAGTAAACACACCTGCCGGCCAAGCATTATTAAGTAGTGCCCTGGACAAACTACATATTTGGTGTGAAAAATAGCAGATGATCATCAATACTACAAAAACCGTCTCAATGACAATTTCAAGAAAGAAGGCACCACTTACTTTCCAGTATTCAATAAATAGTCACTGTCTTAGTGCTGTTAATCGTTATAAATACTTAGGTTTGATAATCACTTCAGACCTCCGGTGGAATGAACATATCACTTTTCTAGAAAAGAAAGCCATGAAACAGCTTGGATATCTTAGAAGATCGTTACGACAGTCAATGCAAGAAATAAAACTATTAGCATATAAAACCTACATTCGTCCCCTTTTGGAATATGCCTGCGTGGTCTGGGACCCATACACAAAGAAAAATATTGATAAACTAGAAAACCTACAAAGAAAATCTGCTTGATTTATCTTTCGCTCATACAATCGCCTTACGTCAGTCACTGCTTTGCTTCAGACAGCGAACTTGGAAGCTTTACATTTGCGGCGATATCGCGAAAGACTAAAATATATGTACCTGCTCTATCACGATAATCTTGGCATTGATTCAAGTGCGTATATAGAAAAAGTTGTGCGACGACCCACGCGGGCGGATCACTAAAAAAAATTACAGGAATTTTCTTGCAGAACGAACTCGTACATGGGCTCTTTTTTCCCACGAACTGTACGCGAGTGGAATCGCCTCCCTGGTGTAGAGGCGGCGACAGTGGCGTCATTCTTATCGGAGCTAAAAAACTTATAGCATGTCTTCCTGCCATATTTGTAATCTTTGTTTTGAGACATTGCGCTGTTAGTACACAAGTGATGTTAGTACGCACTTATACAGGTATTATGCCATGCGCAATTGCATGTCATGCACTGTATACTTTTCTTTTTACCGCGTTAAAACCTGTGTGTCCGCGGCATTCTCTGTGCGTAATATATTGTGAAAATGTTCAGTGTGCTATATTTATATGTTACTTACTCCTGCTTATGGCTTCACTTTGAAGCCAGCAGAAATCCTGTAAATAAATAAATAATCTGTGGGAGCAGCACGAAAGGTACGCTACGAAAGTGAAAAATGCGACGCGAGTGACCTATGGGATGAAGTTGCCAACTGAACACTCCGCACAGTGCGATAACGAAGCATGTACGTGAGGTTAGCTTATGACCAATGAGATTCATATATCATTTGTTGTGATTAAGAAATGGCTACGAGAATAACAAAAACAATGTCCAAACAGCGCGCATTAACCAACATGAAGAATCGGTATCTAGTGCGAATGCTTCGCAGTGCGCAAGATGGATGCGCACACTTAAAGGTTTGTCTTTCAGCAGTTGAGCTGCCCACATCAGGATAGATGTTTCATGAGAATAATTCATGTTTGTTTGTTTTTTCGTGCTTATTAGTGGGTAACAAGGTCATGAATATCTATGCAGCATAAGTAGATGACTCACATAGTTATGTTTGATAATTTTTGCCTAAATTTTATATTTTAACAAGGAATTTTCAAAAGAATGGCACCACAGCGGTAATCTAGTGGCTAAGGTACGCAGCTGCCAACCCACATCCCGAGGGATCGAATCCTGGCTGTGTCCACTGCATTTTCCATGGAGGCGAATATGCCGTAGGTCCGTGAGCTCAGATTTGAGTGCACGTTAAAGAACCCCAAGTGGTCGAAATTTCTGGAGCCTTCCACTACGCTGTCTTTCTTATTCACATGGTAGTTTTGGGACGTTAAACCCCATATATAGAATGCTCACAGTAAACGGAGCCTGAAGGGACCAGAAAAATATGTTTCATTTAGCAGGAGTTCCATTGAAATGAGCACAGGTGCAAAATATAAGCCTGAAAACCAGGGGTGCCGAGGCAATTGTTCCGTTTAAGCAGTAAGTTCCATTTAACAAGAGTTCCGTTTACTGAAATTACAGCAAGAACCATCTCGGTATGTCTGTTGGCATTAGTGTGATCAGCACTGAGCCTACGATCACTGTACGTACTGCACATGCTGTCTAACCAGCACTGGAATGTGCCGTGCATGAGGATGTTACAGCAGCCAAGCTCTTCTCTAGCATTTCTTTCTGCATGTGCTATGCCGTTCAATAGGACTGCCATAAAGTCTGTTCATAGTGCATGTCAATAACCTTAACGCATGAATTATGATGCATTGTCGACGAATCTATCAAAATTCACACGCACCCAAACCTCATCATAGGAAACCTTAGATTCACAATTTTTTCAGATTAACTACTTTTTAGAAAATCCCCCTCCAAATCTCTATAGGTTTAATATAAAAATATTTTACTACAACAACTTTCAAAATCGCTGTTTCAGAATAGTATAGAATTTTATCTCCCGTATATCTCCACAACACTTCAAAGTAACGAACAGCGATTTTAAAAAGTTACCTGCGGCTGCAGAAATAATGCCCAGCTTTGCCCCTGCCACTATCTTCATCATCAGAACACCCACATATTTCTCTATGTGACTGCCCTATGAAATGTCGCCATCATCATCGCCTGGTACTTGTTTCTTGCGTCAGGCTTTGCTCTACCGCCTTTGTTTTCGTTGGGTAGCTTTACCTGTACACTCATTACACGGCTGTTTTCTATCCTTTTGGTTGGTGGTTGAACATTCAAGATTATCTCTGGGAGCAGCACGAAAGGTATGCTACGAAAGTGAAAAATGCGACGCGAGTGACTTATGGGATGAAGTTGCCAACTGAACACTCTGCACAGTGCGATGACGAAGCATGTACGTGATCTTAGCTTATGACCAATAAGATTCATACTATTTGTCATGATGAAGAAATGGTTAAGAGAATAAAAAAAAACGTCGAAACAGCACGCACTAACTGACATAAAGAATCGGTATCTAACGCCAATGCTTCACAGTGCACAAGATGGATGCGCACACTTAAATGTCTGTCTTTCAGCAGTTGAGCTGCCCACATCAGGATAGATGTTTCATTAGAATAATTTATGTTTGTTTTTCGTGCTTATTAGCGGGTAACAGGATCATGAATATCAATGCAGCATAAGCAGACGACTCACACATAGTTATGTTTACGATTTTTGCTTAAATTTTAATATTTTCACTACAAGGAATTTTCGAAAAAACGGCACCACCGCAATAATCTAGTGGCTAAGGTACTCAGCTGCCGACCCGCATGCCGCGGGATCGAATCCTGGCTGCCGCGACTTTATTTTCGATGGAGGCGAATATGCCATAGGCCCACGTGCTTAGATTTGAGTGCACGTTAAAGAACCCCAAGTGGTCGAAATTTCTAGAGCCCTCCACTACGCCATCTATCATAATCACAAGGAGGTTTTGGGACGTTAAACACCATATACAGAAGACTTTCAGTAAACGGAGCCTGAAGGGACCAGAAAAATATGTTCCATTTAGCGCGAATTTCGTTTACTGAAAGGTGAACATAGGTGCAGAATATAAGCCCGAAACCACGCGTTGCAGAGGCAATTGTTACATTTATTCAGTAGTCCTGTTTAACAGATTTACGTTTACTGAGAGTCTACTGTATCTATCAATTTTCAAAAAGAATCAATAATTTATAACGGTCCTTGAGATTCGTTGTATGGAGACTTCACAGTACCATGATTCCAAGGCACTCAATATTAAATTTTAGGAAAGAAAATGAAGTACTTTGCTATTTTTAATAAGTCCCTGCAATTAATTATGATTAGCATAAAGTCAAATATTCCATTATTATGCTGCCAGTTATGTTGCATTTTGAGGTAAAGAGAGTGAAATCACAGGCTTCAAATGTGTGTGCCGTTAGTTTTTGGTTGCATTCACACCGAGAAAAGAAAAGTCATACTTTGTGCTTTGGTTGTAGAGTGCGGTGTGTCAACAACTCGTCAAACTTAGCACGCCTATACCAATGTGATTGGCTATAGCCACATGCAGCACACAGAGATTAAGTTGTGACATGACTATACAGAAGGTTCAATACGTCTAATGTGCAATGTATCTTTCTCTTCCTTGGCCACCAATTCGCACAGCTAGCATAAACGAATTGCGTGCACAAATGTAGCCACCGTCAGTGAAGGGCATTCTGTTATCTGATGAGTGATCACAATTTTTCGTAGCGGAGTACAGCAAACAACATGCCTGTATACATGTGCCGTGGGTTTGATTCTATCCAGAACCAAATGAACTGTAAAGAACTTTTTTTTACAATGAAAAGGTTTCTGAGCGAAGATGGCACACTGAGCTGGAATCTGCAAAAGCAAATCCCGAAATCATGTGACCTCAGCCACCAGAACGTTGGCTGGTGCCAATGAACACTGCAGCAGTCACCCACAGCTGTAGCAGCTTAGAAAAGGGGCATCCTCACAGCAGAAGGAGAAGTCCCGAATTGAAAGGGAGAAGGAACACACATGGGAACATTCAGCGCGTTGTGCAAGCACGTCTACTACACGCATCTGCAAAGGGAGCGCGTGCTTGTACTTGTATCAGTTGGCTTTCAACAAATTTCAGCAGCACCCTTTCTTAACAACAACCTAGCCAAAAGAAACACTTTTGTGCTATCATATCATAACATTATGCTTGGTATTCTGTGAAACTTTTGTGTGTGTGTGTCACTGAGGACTGTACCAACCCAGTGGCCAAAGCTCTGTAGACACACACAAGCAAGCTAACGAGATGCAAACAGGGTGAAGCTTTCCAAGTGTGCTAACAAAACTCACGTGCTCAGAAACTCGTCCGGAAGGTCCAAAATTTCCTGAGGGATGGACTTCCCCGTGAGAAACACAGCCACCTCTTGCGTAAAGTTGTTGCAGTTGTGACGAAACAGATCGTAAGTGTGAGGCCTGAAAAGGAGAAACAAACCAAGGTGGAGGCATCCATAAGTACTGCGCACTTTTTTAACAGCAGTGCAAACAAAACAAGCATAGGTACATGGTAGAGGGGCTAGAGGGAGCAGGGTGAATAAACTCACAGCAGTGCCAAGTCACCAGTCTCGTGGTCATCATCAGGTTATTCATGCGTATTGTGGGTTGAAGGCCCCTGCCAGCCATCTTCTATTACCCTCACCTTGCATCAGATGACTTCTTGAAAGGGGCCCAGCAACACTTTTTTGAGTAATCAGAAAATTATCCTCCTGTCAGAGTTTATTGCTTTACCACTAAGTCACTGGATTTTTTTTTTAGATTCATCAAGTAGAACTGCAGTCGCAGAAATTGGTCACAGGCTTCAAGTGCCTTTTCTCTTCTTTTGTCTCTATGAGCGTGCTCTGATGACAGAGGGGCCAGATCTACATCAGCATAAGTCATGACCTTAAACGGATACTGAGTGAAAATAGGAAAAACTGTCAGAAACACTCAAAATTCCACTCTGAAGATGTGACTTTTCCAATACAGAGTTTAGTTCACGTATTTTTGAACAGATAGCCATACTTTTGGAGGGCCTCCCGTGCACGGTCTCTGCATGACAGTGCAAACCGTGACGTCAAAATTGCTGCGACGGATACAGGGTGCACATTTTCCTGTCCCGCCATTTTCCTCCTTCCACATCTCGTTTACGTAGCACTCTTTCCGCAAAGGTGTCGAGATGGGTCTCTCCATTTAGAGGATTTACCCACACAGGATGCCCGGCGCTGTTCGCTACCAGTGCAAATCGTACCGGTTCTAGAAATTATAGTGGGAGCTGAGTACGTTGAGAGACGCTGGCGATGGCTGGCACAATTGACATACCCATTTCCGGAGGCGTTAGGCTTTACCTCCTCTAGCTGACAACACGAGCTCTAGACTTGTTTGTGAAAGGTGAAAAAAATAATCATTTTTCTTTAGTTTCAGCAGGAATGAAAGCTTGAATAAAGGAATTTTATCCATGCCAACTAAATTAGAGTGATAAGGGCAGGGGGGTCCTAGAAAAAAAGTATTAGTGCGAAAATTCACCGACTACTTCTCAGACCACCTCGATTAGGCACACTACACAGAAACTTTGTCGAATCACCTTCAGAATTTCACGCCCTGAAATATGCCAATCGTTCGATCTCACAAATGCACACCCGATTTCAAGACATCACAATTGAATCGCAAACCACCATTCGAGTGCTACACGTGACCCTCTCATTTTCATTAATAATATGCATCCGCTACCATTAAGCGCAGCCACCGCTTAGAGTTTTCTTAATTCCGTACCAAACCGCAACCTATAAATAGCATTTTTCCGCTGCCGAAACACATTAACGCCGATTAGGCCTAGCCTACAATTCGGCATATTGTCGCAGGAAGTTTGTCCAGGACATGAAGATCCGGCGTCGAAAAGACCGCACTGAACCAAGAACTGTATGTGTGATACAAAGTTTGCGTTCGAGCCCGGAAGATCAACAATAAGGAAAACCTGCCATGCTTACGTATAAGACCACGCACGGGCAGCGAAGCTGAAAGTTCGCATCGTAAAAGGTTTTAAATTTATGGATGAGGTAGCAAACACGACATCTATTGCAAGCTATATAATGACAACGCTTTTTCCGACACGAAAACTGTTAAGCGCAGTTGATAAGAACGGCATCGCACGTGCCGTGTTGAGCCGTGCGCAGCCGAAGCCTTGTTAGCGACGCATCCACTGTAGCCCCCCGTCAGCGCCGGTGAAAAGGTATATCCGTCGCCCTGGGCGAGCCCGCGCAGCCTGTCGGGGTCTTTTTTTCCTTCTCTTTTCCTTCCCTGGCCCTTTGTTCGGTAACTTCGCGTCCCCTTCTCCTTCGTAAGGACCTCGTCGCTCGCTCCCCAGTGGCGAGTCCAGTGTGCCTCTTTTTTGAGACGCATACTCTCTACTGCGTTTGTCACAAAGACTTTCTGGGGACTGCATTATAATCGGTCTTTCATCTTGAGGAACTGCACAATAAGCGGTATGCGTATATATGCGGTTCAATGGGAAAGCAAATCGAAGTCTAAAAAGACCCCATTGTAAAAGAAAGGGAATAAGAGCTTCATCAAAGAAAGTGTTACAGATAATCATTTATAACGAATTTTCGAATATAACGATGTATTTTCGTGGCAGACGTTACTTTGTTATAATGAGGTTTAAGAGTAACGCGCAAAGCCAGAATAAAAGTCATGTTTATTTTCTGGACGTACGTCATGAGGTTTATTCTCACAAACATAGGTTGCAAGCAAAAATACTATTTGAGGTCAAAATGGCAATGGCGGCCTTCAAATAGGAAGTGACGAAGGAAAAGGTGCAATGTTCTCATACCACTCTGGGGGTATCATAAAACTGGCCCATGGGTCTCAGGTTGCCAACACCTGCTCTAGGCTGTGCAACCGTTCTGCAATTAAAGCAGATAACCGGGTATCCATTCTATATTGCCTTATTACTGCATTTAAAAGCACCCTCATTTACAACAGGTGAAATCAAGAGAAAGAGATGAATAGGGGCTGCATGCGTAGCGCATCGGCAGGACAACCGTTGGTTTAAGGGTTACTGACAGGATTGCAAGAGAAGGCACACGCTCGAGAAGGAGACATAAGGTTAGGCGGGCCAGTGAGATTAAGAAGTTTGCAGGTATAACATGGCAGCAGAAAGCACAGGACTGTGTTGATCGGTGGAATATGGGAGAGGCCTTAGCCCTGCAGTGGGTGCAGTCGAGCTGATGATCATGATGATTTACAAGCTGTAGAGCGGGTTCCCACAACGACCCAACACTGCTCAAAAGCCCAACAATCTCTTTTACAGAGCACAGAGACCAAATTTTCCGTATTCGAAATCTCCCTACTGTTCAGTCTTCTGGCATATGCAGATGCCTCTAAGTATAGTGCACTCAAACCTCATTATAACAAAAGTTGCATCTTACACAAAGATAAGTTTGTTATATTCAAAAATTGGTTATAAAGGTTTATTTCTAACACTATATCTACTGCAAGACTATTACTATTTTCTTCATTATAGCCGATATTTCGTTATATATCAGTTCATCATTGCATTAGTGATGAATGTTAGAATATATTACAATATGTTTTTGAAGTACCGTATTTCCTCTCATGATTTGTGCTCTCGCATAATTTGCGTACCCCTAATATTTTGCCGGCTTTACGAAAAAAAATTTACTCGCATACTTTGCGCTCCTAGACCCGCCCGAACCAGCTCACTGGCTTACGCACGAAGAGACTTTGGACCTTTTGACATCTTGAATAGGCGCGCACCTCGCCGAGCAGGCGAACCCAATCAAGCGAGATGCAGGTTCAAAGCCTCTATTTCCGAGGATTTCCCTGAACTAGGGTCCCTATAACACCGCGCAAGCTGGAACTGCTTGAGCATTTTCCTTCCTCCCCCTATCTCTAGAATCTGTAACGTGTACACTCACGTCATGGCACGGACAACTTTGTGCATAGGAGGCGTGTGAGCACCTGTTGCGCCAACTGTTCCCCTCATTCTCTGCGTCCGCCCTGCAACACACACTTGGTCGATTTCCAAAGTTTGCGTTTCGCCACCCAACCGTTGCGTTTTTACTGTTCTCTTGCGATGGCCTACAGTAATTATATGTATACGGTGAAATTCAAGCTCGCTGTTCTGAAGTTTGCCGAAGAAAACTGGAACCGTGCCACGGCCAAGCACTTCAGCATGAACTTCAATGTGTAACGATCGGTGGGTTCGGTACGGGAGAAAGCAAGTGTGCGCTATCTAATACAAGTTTTTTGCGATTGAAGAAAGACTTTTAAATTATATGCGAACACTTAGGTTCTCCAGTATCGCCGTGTTGTGAGACCTAGTTTCTGCCAGTATTGTCGAGAAGTGCTTCAAGGGGCATTCGAACACACTTGACCGAACCGAGGACGATGCCCTTTAGGAGGGCGGTGACAGCGGCCTGCGACGATGATTCTGAATCAGAACTTCGATAAATGATTCCAACTAGACTGCGCGTGACTGGATCTGACTGGTTAAGGTACGTGCTCATTCTGTTTAAATAACAAGTACACTTCATTTGTGCTTCAATTTATCATTTTGAGTGTATATACTGCGTGCGTTAGGACTATCACACATTAGTATGTCGTATGCGTTCGCAAAATCCCCGCGTAACTTGTGCACCCCCTTCTCAGAGCCCCAAAATCGCAACAAAAAGTACAAATAAATACGATAAGCAGAAGTGCTCATGTAGAATCTTCAAGACATTATGACATTACAGGCGACGAGTTTATTGAATCTTCTGGTTTTCTGTGATGCTTTGCCGGAGCCAGGAGTGCTGTTGACGTAAGAAGAACAGGCAGTTGGGCTAGTTGGCCATCCACGAACATCAACAGACTAAAACAACAAACACATAGAAGGAGGCAGCCAAAGTACAGGCACCAGTTCTTTTACAGCCTTATTTTTTGTGTTTGTCGTTTTTTACACTATGTGTAATGCTTCATTGTTGACGTTATAGATAGTCAAGTTTGAGTTAAGCGCACTGGAAAAGGTTTCTTTCTTCCTGACTCCCTTGCTGGGCTGCTCATGCACTGTTCTCAGTCTACTGTTTGCGTGTAAAGAAATAAACAGATCGTATTGAAGAGAAATGTCCAGTGCCGCAGCCACAATGCCAGTCCAGAGTGAGGCAAGAGCCAGAGTATGCTGCCTGCAACCATCCCGGTCTCGCTGCTGCTGTTGAAACATAAAACCCACTCTCTGCCCAGTGTTTGCGTTGTATTTCACTGCCGGTGCCCCACTTTACCCAGCACTGAAATAACGTAGTCAAAATCTGCCATTCATCATGCCTGACGGAGCCGCTTCAGCACCCGTTCGTATGCGCTGTTGCACAGCATCTGCAAGAGCCCGAGATCTGCAGGGGCACCGACAAGATTGATTATAGGCTTGAATTCTATGAAAAAGTGAGTGCTGCCGACAAATGGGATGATCTCATGAAGCTCAACACCGCAATGTTTCCTTTAACGAGTGTCGCAAGGTACAAAAACCCGGAGGCTCATCAACCTTCAAAACTAGCATTGCAGCAGTTTTCAAATGACCTGGCAAAGGCAAACTTTGACAAGAACAACGACTGAGAAATAAGCAAAGTGGTGAAACGTTCTCCAACTACATTGAAGACACCTTGACCACCGCCGGCATGTCAACTCGATAGTGGAAGCGAACGAGGTACACCACATCATGAAGGGCATTCACAATTCCTTTCCTTTGTCTTCACTACAAAATATTTAAAATAACTCAAATAATATCAACAGTATTGCATGCCAAAACCACAATGTCATTATGTGCCACATCTTAACCCCTTGACGTCCACGTTCTCCGCGGCCGGTCCCGCCTAGTATTTCGCGGGAAAATTTTTGCACTTTCAAGCAGCATGGATTGGTGGATATAAATCACAATAAAATCTGCGAAAAGCATCCTAGAATGACAAATCTTGTCTTATTCTGTTAGCAGTGTTTAGCTGCATCAACTGTTTCAGTATAATTTTTGTGTGTAAAAAACTTCGAAGTAAACAGGCATGTGATAAACAACTTCGCATTTTTTGCACTCCCATCGGCTCACGGTCTTTTAGCCGTGTGCTTTGCACACTAAGCACAGCTTTGAGGGATTCTTTACTTAATTTAATCGCTCTGAGGTGTTAGAAAAATATTCAAGAAATATGCAGGAAACATTCTATTCGATTTGCATTCCCACTTGAATATTTAAATTCCCTTCACACCCAAATTTTGCTATTCGAACAGCTCTACTATATTTTTTCACATCTGTTTGGCGTGCCATTTTGACAACTGCAAAAGAAGTACAAAAAATTTCAAGAGGAATGTCCCACATATTAAGATGAATGGACTTCGAGGTCTGTAAATGTGCACTGAAATATGACAGGAGCTATGCCATGTAAACCAAAAATAGAAATGCCATGACTTTGGTACCGAAAACGTTATGAAGAATGTTATGGAGAATGCTACAAAGGACGATACGAAAAACGCTACGGAGCATGCTACGGAATGTGCTATGCAGAATGTTACAGATAAGAGTATGGAGATCGGTATGGAGAATGTTATAAAGCATGATACAGAGAACAACCCAAATAATATTATGGAGAATGCCAAGGTGAATTTTACAGAAAACGCTGCAAAGAGGGTACGGAGAATGCTACAGAGACCATTATGAAGAATGCTACAAATGAGTCCATGGAGAATGGAATGAATGTTACAAATGAGGTTACGGATAATGGTAGAGAAAATGGTACTAACTTGTAACTGGATTCACCCAGGGCAAAGATGTACTCCAAGAACAAGCTGTACGGGAGCTCGGTGCGGCCGAGGCTCAGGATCTGGTCTGGTTCCTTGAGGATGGTTTCCCCCTGGTGGAAAGCACAACAGCAAAACAGACACCAAAAGATTGAGCATCAAACAAGCCATCTACAGGCGAATGCAATAGTAAGAGGCGTCTGTAGGTATTCAAGTACTCTGAATATTCTAAATAATATTAGCGTTTAAATTTGCTTCGACACAAATTTGAAATGTCTGTTCTAAAGAAACAAGCTTCCCCTCTTGAGCAGGTAGCTAAATAATGTAAATATAGCCGGTGCTTTGCAGAGAAACTTTCCAGCCGAGTTTTTGCATACACTGTAATAGAACTATAAAAAAAAATGTGTTGGAGCAAGCTTAAACTCTGTCACGCTCTCCCAACTACAGGCATAAGTTTAACTATCTGTATCTCTCTGGACAAAAGTGAATGTCATCTGTGCTATACCAGAATATTCAGTATATACTGGCTTTCCCAGTTAACTGGGACCAAGATCTTTTTAAGAAGCACGCGCTCTAGGAAACTCCTGCCTGTTGTATATTGGTGGTAGCCATGTTTTAATACACCTTGCACTTCTTCGATGACTAAGCACTAATAAATTAACTTCGAGAACTATCCAACTTTTTCAATATTTCTCATATCAGTAAACTATTAACTTTATGTCGTAGGTCACCTCAAACAACCACAGAAACGAGCACTTATTTTGTGCAGAAATCTGCCCGTTCCCCCCTTCCCCGAAAAAAAACAAAACAAAAAGGAACCATACAAGGCAAACATGAAATAGACGTGCGCTCGCACGCCCCCACTGATGTGCTTGCAAGCGTTCTTTGTTTGATGAATGCGTTCGTTCACTATACAGGGTTTCATATTATTCGATGGACGCAAATCAAAACACGTTGCTGATACATCCATCATCAACCGTGAAGCCCCATATGATGCATGCGGCAACGAACGAACGCAGTCGTGTATCAATCAAAGAACATTTGAAAGTGCTTGCGTAGTGGTGCGCGAGCGAGCGTCTATCTCATACTTACGGTACATGTTTCACGCACTTTTGTTTTTCCCCAGAAAAAAAAAACCATGCATATTTAAGCACGAAATGAATGCGTGATTATGGGATTGTTTGGGGTGGCCTACAACATAAAGTTGATAGCTTACCGATATCAGCAAGAATAAAAAAGTTGGCTAATTGTGTTAATTAATTCGTTTATACGGAGTCATGAAAAAATACAGGTTGTAAGCACACCTCACGACCGGTAATGTACAACAGCTACAAATTTCGTAGCCTCTCTCATAGTCATATGGTGGTTTTGGGACGTTAAACACCAACAACTATTATATTACTACAATTTTTGTAGAGTGCATGTTTCTTTTTTTTTAAATCTTGGTCCAAACAAGTTGGGACAGCCAGTATACAGAGCGCTTCAGCTGGCTTTAGCTAGAGTTTAAAAATATTCAGGCACTTTATCATCCCATCTTCTAGCATGAAGTATATTTTGTGAAAAATAGTATGACATATGTCACACTATTTCTTGTGTTGTGCTTAATTAGTACATATAATTGATTAGTACTAAATTGTATAATTAGCTTCTAAAGCAAAGAAGTCAGACAGGACAAAAATTAGCATAATAATTTTCAAAATGTCAAATTACGCAGCTTCTAGGTTTCTATCTATTATAAGTGCTTTTGCCTCACTGCAGACACCCATGAAACACACAAGAATACCACGTGCTGTAGAAATGCTAAAAATGTTTTGCCTGTAAACAACAACATCGTTCTGCCATGTGTGCTGCGGCTTAGAAGGCAACAGAACAGCCACGAAAGAGGTGGCTGTGCGATGACGCACATTCTACAAGTGGCGACCCAAGTGATAACCGCTGCTTCTGCTTATCTTGCTCATGAATCGCCACAACTGGAAACACATTGTTTGTGCCAGGATCGTTAAGGGAACACTGCAACATGGTGTGCAAATGGGACGTGTAACATGGAAAATTTTTTTTGTATTTCGCAGGCATCTGCACTAAGCAGAAAAGAGCTAATACTTAATTGGGCATTTTGCCAGCCGGTCTACAACTTTCTGATTGAAGTGTTCTGCTTGGCTTAATTGCTTTAGGAGTTTGTTAATCGCTCTTACCGAATTAGGCATGACATAAAAGACAGTGTGACGTACTCTATGCAATAGTGAGAAAAATGAATTGGTCGTGCTGTCATAGAACGCATCAGCATATTTTAAAGCTCTCACTAGAGTTGGGTAGAGCGCGCTGTTGCGTGTATAATGTTTGAGCGTGACATAACATATTTTACAACATTTTTTACTGTTTTCTCTTTTATACTAAAAGTGTGCTAGCTCACTGTATGTGTGTGATGATGTGCATATAGTATGTGCAACTGCTCAGCGCGCAATGAAGTTAACTCAGCATTCATGCTATGCAGTGCCTCTTGTAGCAAACAGTAGCAACTTGCTTTAAAAAATGTGTTTGTCCTAGACAGGCTTCACAGGAGGCCAGGTATGTGGCCTGTCACAGGGAGTCAAACACGATACAATGGTAGTTAAAAAAGAAAGAAAAACACATTCTTTCAGCCCTTTCATACCAGAGCAAAACTAGGTGAAAATCTAATAAAGAACCCCCAAATAAACTTCTATAAATGCTCACTTACTACACACGATGAAACACAGATGGAAAGCGATGGATGTAGGTGGGGATACCTTGTGCTTTATAACGGAATACTTTAGTATTGATTTAGTTTTTCTTTCTGACAATCACACCAAGCTGCGCCTTGAAAGACAACAGTTTTAGCTGTAACTTACGCCGTGCTTAGAGTTTTGTTTCTTGCTGTGTTAAGTAATCTTGAATGTACAAGCACGCTCAATATGACTTTCAATACGATAGTGCGTCGCCGCGCAAGTTCAAAGGTCGTGCATGGCTTCAACTTGTTTTTATGTCAACAACTAGACATTATTTTCTTATTTGGGATCGTACATAAAGGGGACAAATGCATTCAGTGGTAGAAATAATTAGTACAAGCCATGCGCAGTCTTTGAACTTGTGAGGTCACGCGCTCCGACTAAGCAAGCCATATTGAGCATGATTGGACCTCCTGTTTGTAGCTAATGTGGTTATGACTTCAAGGCAAAGTCATTTGATCAGGTGAAGCATTGTTAATAGGCAGATCCCGAACCGAAATACGGATCCCAAAAGCTCGCTGAGCTTTGTTTTGACGTCAGTCAGTGGTCTTATGTCAATTATGTGCACGTAAGAGAAGAAAGCAACCTGCAGTTTCCAAAATAACGACAATGTGACAGTACTGTGCTTTCGCCTAGAAAAGCAGCTTTGATGCACCTGCGAGGCTTACTTATTTTACCAAGTACTTCTGCGTGTCTTTAGATGTGGTGACACATGGAGGCACGAAAGTTGGCCACGCACTGAGCTCAACCAAGTTCTGTCGAGGATGCGATGCGAATGATGCGTCGCGGCACCTGTTGAATAAGTTCAAAAAGCGCAGGCATAAGACACGAGCTTTAGAAAAAGAATATGTACTCTTATGTTGTGCTGCTTACTGGCTGCATGCTACTTAGTCTTCAGATGTATGAGCGAATAATGAAGGCAATACAACTACGGCATGATGCAATATTGCTGTCACCACTGACGAAATGAAACGTCCTAACACGCAATTCACGGGGCATTTAGGAAAACAACAGAAAAGGGCGAAACTATCAATGTGAGTGTGGCGAATCCTGCTAGATATTAACAATTAAAATCTGGGTTTTCAAGTACCTAAACGACGATATGATTATGAGAGACCCCATAGTGGAGGGCTCCGAAAGTTTTGGCCATGAGGCGTTCTTTAACGTCTACTGACATCGTACAGCACTTGGGCCGCTAGCATTTCGCTTGCATCAAAATGCGACCGCGAACGAACCCGCGACCTTTAATTGGGTCAGGAGCCGGGCACCAATCCACCGAGGAGGACATCCAGCTAGATCACGATGGCCGCGCGATGACCGGCAGAATTGACTCAGCGATGTTCACGAGCGCGCCAGAAGTAAACATCGTTCAAGCAGTGACGATCAAGCCCGATTAGGACAAAGGCGATCGCGACCTGGGTCCCGAACAGCGATTTGGCTGACGTCTTGGCAAAAACTCGTTAGTCGAGAACGAGTAGCGGCGACAATAGGCTGCTTATCGCGACCACGGAATGCGATCTGGATCGGCCCTGATCGCGATCAAGCAGTGGCCGTGTGACACGTCGGAGAGACAACTTACCACTCCGCAACTTTCGATTCCCATCGAGCCGAAGAAGTACTCCCTGCCATAGGCCACGATACTTGTATGCCATATTCCGGGCAGCTGCTTTCCTGCATGAAAAAATATGCGACTGACACTGTCACAGCGGCTCGGGTTAGCGATGCGCAGATCCGACCGCCACACAAACTTCCCGATCGCTCACAGTGAACACATGCGTGCATTGCATAAAGAAGGCGACAGCACAGAAGAAGAAAACTCACACCTAGTGTTCTACAGAGCTTACATCACAACCTGATACTCGCCGAATGCCACCACACCGCTTGTACCGGGCTGAAAAAGGCTATTTATAAACGCACGCCCCCTCCGGTTTCATTCCAAGCGCTGCGCTTTTCTCTTCACTTCTCGACCAGTTATAAACAATTCGCACCGGTCTCGCACTATTCAAGGTCATCGTTGGAAAAAGCGTTCGAGAAACGAACAACAGAGCCGTCGGAGACGTATAAGTGAAACGAAGCAGCGAGATGTCACCTATGAGCATGGGCGAAAGGGTCTTGGCAAGTCCCTTGGACAGGTCGTAAATATAGAGCTGAACTTCGAAACTTGTTTCGGCTTCGATGTGCGAAGTGTTCTCAGGCTCTTCGGCGCTCATGGCTAGATCGGCCACCTACACGCTGTCGTGCTCGAAACCTTCGCGGTGGCACTAGACTAAGCGGCACTGATCGCACTTCGGGGAAAGGAGCGGCTCAACGACATTTCCGACTGCCGATGATGTTGCAGTTCGGAGCGGTACATCCGTACGCGCGAACCATGCTAAATGCGTGATTCCCGCGTTGCTCGCTTTTCTTTGATGGCGCTCGCGTCGAGTGCGGTGAAGGTCCTACAAAATATAGTAACTTGCTTACAAAAACATTTACTAGCCTACTGTGCAGGTATTTAGAGCATCGAGTAATTTAGGAACTGTAAAATTTCAGTTATAATTTAGAAGTTTTTATTTTTGTTACCCTAACAAAACAGTAATTTCAAGGTATTATTTACTAGTCTCAATAGGTGTTCTGGGTCTCAATGGCTATGCTTTGTCAATTTATCTGTTGTCAATGTGCTTTTAACATGGAGGAAGGAATGGCTTTTAACCTCACGAAGTTGTAATATGTTCTACGTTTTCAAACATGGGTTTAACCAACGCCTGTTTATCGCATCGCTGCTGCCCGAAGCGCCACGTTTCAGCCTTTTCGCCGTCGTGATCAACGCCATTTGTCGCTGGTTGCGTGTGGCGGCTGTGTGTGCGTCGCTTCAGCACGAAAACGGATAATTTTTTTTCGTAAATCGGGCCGCCTTTCAGAAACCTCGCCATGTCCGCTCACGAGCAGATGCGCCAAATGCTGGACCAGCTAATGGGCACCGGCCGGGATGGTAAGTGATGTGGCTACGTCCACGCAGTTTGTGTCAAGTGATGCCTTTCTGTGGGGCGCTGAAATAAACTGCCTCGCTGGCAAGTGATGCCTTCGTTACCTCCCGCACAGGGCTGGCTACGCGTTCTCTCGACACGCGTCGCTGTGCTGCAGCGCGATTGACGTTGTAAACGCCCTTTAAACCAGTACTCTGTTAAGCTCGTAGTGTGGGCCTCCTTTTGAGGCCAAAAAAAGCCAGTTATGCGGTCGACCGCAATATGCGACCTATTTTGTAATGGCCGCTTCGACCTTTTTTAGAGATCTTCGAGAGCCGTAGTACGTTTTTGATACGTAATGTTATTCTCGGGCTGCTGTAAATTCAAGCGCGTCGCTTCGAGCGCGACTTTCGAGGAGGAAGCTACTCAGACGTACCAACGTAGCGGTACTGACACCGCTTGTATTTGCACAGCCGTGCTGGCGGCCAGCGCCGCTTCCGTGTAGGAGGGATATTTCGATCCGTATTGTTCGCGCTGCGCTTAGCTGCTCCCCATCTTTCTTACGTTTTTTTTTTTTTTTTGCCGCACCTCAAGTTGCGCTTCCTTGCACGCGTATGTCAGGGTCGGCCTGTGCGCGCAATAGTTCACTCCTCAGACGAATTAAATATGCATTGCAGCGCTGCCTTTCGAGTGATCGATTGATTTGTGCTTGAATATGATTGCATATTTTTGGATGCGTTTCTGGCGTTTGATTGCGTGGAACCTCGCAGGAGCGGTGCTCCGTGACGTTTCGGGTGGAATCTGGTGTTTTTTTTTTGCGTGATATTTTAGTGCCGAGTGTTACGTACTTAGTGTGTGGCATCTGACGCCTTCCGCGGCGTTGCAGAGAGCATTGCGACAGACACCCTCGGCACCTGCCTCGTCATCGGGTGCGTAACTTTAGTTGAAACACCGTAATTCGTGTGATGGCGTGATTCCTGTCGGCCAGAATTGGCGTGAAGCTCGCAAGTTTCGATGGTCTTCGTACACTACTAGTTTTGTGCAGTACATTTGCCAAAATGTAAAGCTTTCTTGCACCTGCTAGAAAGAGGAGTTCATCAGCTACCCACATTTGCCGTCTGATCAATTATGTCGTCTTGACTAGTGTGTTCGATGTGGCCCTAATTCTTGTGTACCCCTGCATGTTATGCGATCTTTGCTCCCTCCTTGTTACAACGCCAAAGCTTAATGCCAGCAAAACACACCGATTAAATTCTTATCACTTCGCAAAGATGTTGGTGTTGATGTAAGTCACTAGTTAACATTCAAAGTTCTGTAGATTGTTGAATTGCTTTGTGTGCAGCTTAGTGTTCTCGTGAGGGCACAGGAGAATGTGCAAAATTGTTTTGTGTAATGTGCCAGTTTATACAGAAAGTTGCCACTTTTCTTTGTACATTTTATTTGACTGCATCAATTGCACCTTTGATAGTTAATGCAAAAGTTCACTTCCCTTTGAAAATTTAAATGAACACACAATTGTTGGTGTGGCATTGAGCTAGTCTCCTTTTCGGGATCACATATAAGCCAACGAAAAATTGAAAGCAGTGATGCTTTCACCGAAGCGCTGAATATCAACTAAACTTTGTGTTTGTGGACACTCAAAAAGTTTCGTTGACCCCATCTTTAGTGTCTGTGCATTAATGAAAGGTGGGCTGTCTGATCCATGTTATCTGCGACATTCAACTCTGAACGCTGCACCTGCCTTAGGCGAGCTGTTTGGGCTCTCAACAGCTTCTCTGCCATTGTTTGCACCGTTTTTACCACCACCTTTGTCCGCCAATGGGCTTAGCCCATTATAAGCTCAGCTTTTGTCCTTGTTATTCCCGGGAACACGTGTGTAGTTAGCTCGTAAAATTACATTCATATTCGTGCAGCTTCATTGAGCCTTATTCCAATAGCCTGCATTGTTTGTTGTGTAGACTTGGACTTTTAAAATTTCTGTGTAGGGAAGAAACTGCTGAGGAACATTCTTGTAGGTGTCTTTGTGTGCATGCTGTGATCCCCTTCAATTTACACTTAAAGGACCCCGTCACCAAAATAGAAACCAGGAGATATGCATGCTCTTTGTCCCGTATACAGGGGTATTTCTGGCCCTTTATTAGAGGCGAATGTTTCCTTCAAGATATAATAAGTTGGTTTTAATGTAAGCGTGAATGCTCATCTTGGTTGGCAGTACCTCACGACTTAGCCACTGGTATGACCTGCGTTGTGGCCCCTTGTAATGTTTCACGAGTACAGCTAGCATTGCCGACGTCCCAGAAGATTTGCGGGATGCGCATGGTACCGCGACTGTCATTACAAGAGGGTTATTGTTTGTCGCTCGCAAAGTGGTTTCGGCTGCTTACGTCGGGAATGCCTTTCCTCAAAAGGGCATGCTCTCAGTGCTGTAGTGAATAACAGGCAGGCTTAGCTCATACCAAAGCTCACACATCTTATTCTTTACTGCGCAGGTTTGAAAACTGTTATTACAGCATTACCACATCTTGAGTGAATGCGCTCTTAGGTGCTCCCCTGTGTTGAGGCAGCGGGCGCGTTGAGTTGAGGAGCTCAAGCACGCTCTAGCCGGCGGAGTTCTCTCTTGTAAAATTAACGGTTTAAAAGCAACTTCGACGAGAGAATACGAAGGGCATGGAGTGCATCCCAACCTTGAGACGGTGCGCAAGAGGTCGTGCCCGCTACTGTTCTGGAAGGTGTTGCGTGTTTCTGAAACCGGCTCCTCCGATAAAATGCGTTCTCCTTCGCCACACATTCCTATTGCGCAAGCAAGGTAACATCAGCCGTGTAACACTTTCTTGCCCCTGAAAGCAGTCGGTGGAAACTGTTATGCTAAGCTACGAAGGGGATGCACTCAAGCGTATTTTAGGGTGTTCCCTTGGAGTTCGGAGTGCACCAACTTAACGTGTCCACTAGTTTCTTAGTATTTTGGTCAGGTGCTTCGAAGTGACCCTAAAAGTGGCCACATTTAATGAGGCTAGCAATAATTATTCAATAGTTTTGGGCATTTATGATTCGATTTTGGCATAACCAGTCAAAATGTTGCAAATTGTAGTAAAAAAGTCACAAACGAATTTCGATTTCAGAACTGCTTTAGAGGGACACTAATGTAAAAGAATGATTTGGTCTAAATTGATTAGTTGTACTCTGGGAATTTCGTTATCATGAATTTCACAGTCACAGGTTTATTAATAGAGGTGAAAGCTGAGGTTGAAAATTCACTTTTAAGTTCACGTCGATGCCTCTGCATGTAACAATCGCGAATTTGAAAGTATTTTTCGTGTTTCAGTGGCATCGGCTCATTAAAAGTCTTTAAACGTGGCATCTTAAGTCTATGGCCCCCTCAAATACAGTTTACTTCATGCTTACTGACTACGAACTACGTAAGAATTTGTAAGGTGCTGTTAAAATTTGACAAAAAATCTTTTGGTCAGGAATTTCAGTGTGGCAATGCCTCCCACATTTTCTTTTTGCCCGTTTTCTCTTTTACCGAGTGCCGTCTCACAGCAGACATAGTGATTTTGAATTTGAGCAGCAGTAATTAAATATTATGAGAGAAACCATTTTTTCTTTGGTGTCCCTTTAATAGTCAAGGTGCTAACTGCTCTGGATAATCGAAAAAATCATTTTTTCTTCAGTGTCTCTTTAATAGTCAAGGTGCTAACTGCTCTGGATAATTAAAGCTCCCAACTGCTGTGAGGGATTAAGCTGGTGCAGCCTTGTGCATGCTTAAAAGGCCACTAAATAGGTTCCGACTTTCTTTGTACACCCCCCCCCCCCCCCCCCTTCCTCCACCCCAAACAACCTTGCCAATTTGTACAGTTGACCGCGGTGATCACACTTTCAGAATTTTAGAGCGTCACACAGAACGTCGATTTCAAAAAAGCAATTCCCGTGCTTCTTTCCTTCGCCTGGCCAATCCCCCTCGTACGCGCAGTGATGCAAGCTTGCCCATGGTGTGGGCAACTTGATGCACCACTGAGCTCGTCGACGGGTTCTTTTCACGAAACGGTGCCTGGACCCTGCGGCGATGCAGTTTTGGTGTTGCAGTCCGCATTTTCATTTTCCTGCGCTGCCCTCTGCAGTTTTGTGGAGCGCCGATGATAAAAAGGCATCTCGCTACTTTACTAAAAGGGGAAGGATGCTGTTCTTGCCCCACCTCCTCCTCGTGCGGGGTACAGATGCTTATTTGTGAAAAAGCCCTGCTTGGCTGTTAGCTGCGTGCCAATCACGTACCGCTGACGTCGTGTCACGTTGCTGAATTAGGCGGAATCATGACAACGGGCTACGCTTTCCCCCTCCCTATGGCGGAGAAAGGTGGCAAGGCCGCGCAATAATTTGAAACACGTATTTGCGAAATTCTTGCGGCAGCATGTTCACATAGCAAAAGTGAGCACATTTCTCTTCATTACAACTTTTGGAGCTCGGGATTGTTTACTGGCCTTTTTAACAGGTGAGGTTATATTGACGCTGAAACGGCGAGAACAGGCATTCCTTATTTAAAAGTGAGAGCGTTGAGGAAAACCAACATTGACCGCACAGACCCAAAGAATGCGGAGAATAAATATCAGGGTCCCAGCAGGAATAAGACGCAAGCATTCTGCTTGGCAATCAAGTATTCTCCCACAGTGCCACGCCAGGTCTCGATAATGCTTAGGAAAACGGCCTGATGTAGGCGAAATGTTGGTGAAAAGTGAATTGTGTTTGCAGTGCTGGCTATCTAATTTTGTAAACATCGTATATCTATTTCAATGAGGCAGGCGTCACGTCGTGTAAACATCAGTTGTATACATCAGTGTCATGCACTGAAGTTGGTCTGTGTAGCTCTAACCAGGGCCATCATCTTGCAAGCACAATCATGACATATTCTGGTGTTGGTAATACCCATGTTACTGTTGACAAAGTTGTGCTACTGTAAACAGCTAAATATAAGAAAACATATATGACTGTTCAACTAACATGTCTGCACATACATTTACATATATTTAGCATC